ATACGAAAAAGAAAACCTGTTATATATGCTGCTAATGAACCATATGTATTTGAGTGTGGAACATAAACAACACAAAGTAATTGTGGAAAAAGTATGACATAAACAAGATCTGAACATAAATACCAGAGAACATAAATTGATGATACAAGAATACCAATTCCAGCAGCTCCTATTCCAACAAGAAGTATTCCAATACGCATTACAAGTAAAACTTCTCGTTCAGATGCCTATGATAAATAAAGATAGAAGAAAATTTTTTTAATAAAATAATCAAGATTATTAAATCATATACTTGATCACGAAAAACAAGTTTCCAAACATTTCGAGCAAACATAGAACTAGCACTAAGTACACTCGAATCAGCACTTGACATAACTGCAGCAGAAACAGCGCCTAATCCAATAAATGCAATAAATTTTGGGCATAAATGTAAAAGAACTAATGGCAAAATCAGTTTTGTTGCTTCAGGTGCTGTTATATCTTTATTTATATCGTAATCTGTCATATTCCAATCTAAAAGAAACAGAATAGATATATAAATACAAGTTAAACTAGTATAAAATCTAGACAGACTAGTAGATTTAGCGACAGCTCCAATCAGTATAGGTGGCATTGCCAATACAATACAACCAATAGCAGCACAAAATGAAAGATACATTGCTTTCTTAGCTGATTTAGCTGAAAGAACACGTTGAAAATAGACCTAAAACAAACAACAAGGCAAGATAAAAACTTATTATTAATTAAACAAAGTTGTTAAAACTCAATATAGATTTTCATACTATTTCTCACATGAAATATTATTTATAAATTAAGAATGAACAGATTTTTCTTTACTGCCATTAGAAAAAAATAACATTATACTTTACCTGCCATGGTATTCCACCAAAAATTAATAATAACATACTATCAGTCCATTCAACTATTTGAGATTTTTCTATGTGTCCACGCCATTCAGGCCATGTAGTAACAATACTACCGACAGCTTCATGTTTCATAGCAAATGGAATAGCAACCCAAAGACCAACAAAAATAAATCCAAGTTGAACAACATCTGTATAAGCTACCGAATACAATCCACCGAACAGAGTATAAACAATAACCACAGTTGCTAAACATATCAAAATAAATTAAGTTTTTTTTTAATATTATTTTGTTGACTATTTTTACCTGAAATAACAATTGATGCTACAGTTGAAACATCCGTAAAAATAACACTAATTGTTGCTCCTAATGCTGATAGAATAGCTGCTGACCAAAATACTTCTCCTAATAATGCCGGTATAAATAATAATCCACCCATTCGTTGGCCATATTTACGCTGAAATGGATCAAGCATTGTAACATATCCGGCATTACGCATTGGTCGTGCAAATAATAATCCACCAACAACTAAACTAATAGCATATCCTAATGGTGCTTGACATGCAAGAAGACCCGTAGAAAAAACTTGTTCAGCAGTACCATTAATATATGCACCTCCAACCCATGTTGCTGTCATTGTAAATATTCCAACCAGTAAACCAATATTCCTTCCTGCTAACATAATCTCTTCTGTATCGGGTGACTTTTCAGTTGATTTTTGTTTTCGTCCAGCCCATATTCCAACAAGTAAAATAAGAACATAAAAAACAATAACGGCCGCAAGGCCACCAAGATGTACTACCATTTTCTAAAACGAATATCTCATATACATTAACATGAAAAATACTCATGAATAAAACAAAAATAACAATCCATATATTCCTTTGTATTTTTCTATATATCCGAATGAATAGTATCTTTCAACCGGAAGCCTCTTATTTTGGAAGAAGGAAATTAATTGAAGTAGAGTAAAGCAAATAGAAAAAAAAAGTGGTCAAGTACCCTAGAAAGATAACATTATTCATGAGTTATTTAGAAAAGAACAGCAACATTGTCTTCGTATGTTATTTAAACTTCTTTTTTTCTATTGATAAGTATAAATTTTTCTTCTCAATTATTTTTCTGTCAATAGTTATTTAGCATTAACTTACAAGCTTGTTGATCGTATGTTTGTATTCCACGGGTGATGTTTGTTCCCGTTTCTTTATCTCAATTCTACTTCTATCACAATGAACATCATGTTATTTTCTTTTTTATCGCTCGGCTTTTTTTCTCTTCATCTCTATATTTTTTTTTCCTTCTTCTTCGTTTTCTTCTAATGATGAACTATCATTTCCTTCTATCAAAAATGCGTGTACTCGTGGTTTAACTAACAAGGTTTTCCTTGCAATACTAGCTAGACAATTCATTTATTAGATTACGGATTTCTTTTTTTTTATTAGAACATCGTAGAGATTAGGCCGAAAAAAACACAATTTATTTTTCGATAGTTCTGTTCTTGCAACTATTGACAATGAGAAGACGTGGGTGTTTCCTTTTTTTTTTTTGATAGTAGCATGTCGGCCGAGATTGAGCACGGTTGAAATGACGATAATCATCATTCCGATGATAGGCAAAATATGACAAGACATTCGGAGAAAGAAAAAGAAAAATAAAAGCAAAAAAAAAAAAAGATTCTCTTTTTCTTGTTTTTCAAAAAACAAAATATATTAACCAATATGTTGTAGAGTAATACCATAGTAGATTGCAATAGCAACTCGATAAAACGAAAGTAAAATCTAAAAACAAATATATAAAATATGTTATTTCCATTCATTGTATAATATCAAAAAATATCTGAAGATAATTATGTTTCGTCTTAAAGGTAAATTATTTACTATATGTTCGTATGAACTGACATTGAAATGTAATATTACCTTTCTATATCAAAATATTCTTTATAGAAAATAAAGTTCTCAATAGAAAGTGTTTTTGCTATATTTATTTTAAGTGATTTAGTACTTAATGAAATATGATTGGCTTCGATTGAAGTATTTTAAATGATAGAATTTTATTCAAAATATTTTTTTAAAACGTTTTGTTGAAGAAAAAAAAACAAATGAGTCATTCAAATAAAATTAGACACTTCAAATATACCATTAAACATTGAAGTTTAACTAACTTTTTTAATTCTATACCATTGAACAATTCTTTCAATTAATCTTAATATTCAATGAATATTATCATTATTTTCATTTGATCCAAATAGATAAATCCACCATCGATATATTTGCATAACATAATATGCTAAATAATGATTATTAACTTTTGCATAACTTAATACAAGAACATTATAAATTATAATTGTACCTGATAGTATTATTGGTGAATAATAACCTTCTTCTTTTGTTAAATAAATATTTTAAATTTTAGATGATATAATTTGGCTTTTTATAAAAATATTGTATATGATCACTAATATGCACTTGACCAGTACATATAGCAGATTTTAATTTTGTATCATTTGTTAAGAATATTAAATGATTTGGTGATATAAATAAATATGTTGTAATATATTTATAATTATTAATTAGTATATTAATTAATAAAAAGAATCAAATAATTAATTTCGTTTCAAATGAATAAATCCTTCAATAGATTCATAAATTAATTTATTTTCTTTATTCATAACAAGTATATATTCACCATTTTTTAATATCTGATGAAGATTTCATTAAATCATTTTCATTTATAACAATACTTTGACAAGGAAAACATAGTTATTGACGTTATTTTGTTACACAAGTATATTGAAAACAAATATTACCATTCAATGATTGTGAAGTACAATTATATATTGTATCATATGGATTATTTTGGACTATTAATTCAATCAAATAATAATATTAAAAAAACAACAAAAAATGGTAGACAAAGCAGACATTTGTTTGTTAGATGAAAGCATACAATCAACTATTGAAGTAATCTTGAATAAAAGCACTAAAGAAAAAAATTTCGTGGATGAATAAGAGTATTTTTTTTTGTTTCTATTGAATAGTATATTTTTTTTTTCTTTCGTGTAATTTATGATAGTTGAATGACATATTTGATATTATTTATTTCTCATCGTAATATAAATGTTTGAAAATGTATACATATATCTAACATTCTATTTCAATGACTGGATGAGAGATATATTTTATATAACTAATTGATTTTATGGTTTATTGAAAATTTTTCTTTAATAAAAATAAAACAAAATCAAAATATTTTATTCAACATTACTTTTCAAATTAAAATAAACAAAAAAAAAGAACAATAATGTTGTGATATCATATAAATTACATCGATGACTCTTGAATACTAGATACATTAAGTAATGTAATTGGAAGCTGGATTAGATTAAGTTGATTATCAATCGTAACATTAATAAAACCTGATAAAGTTAAAGGAATACTGCCTGCTAGTAGAGGAGTCAAAAGCGAAAGCAGTGTTGATAATTTAGCTGTAATCTTTACTTTGATATCAGGTGTTATAATTTCTTGTCGAGCACCGATGATTATAGGTGAATGATGAGTGACAGTACCAACTTGTGCATTCTCATTGATTACAGCACCATAATCAGCTCGTACATCCATACCTGTTATAGTTAACGGTGCACTAAAAGGATTTTTAAGTCGAATACGTGAAGAAAGTGTTTTGACAATACCAAGTGGAATACCAGCTATTTGTGCAGCAGTTAATTTTTTAAGAAGAACTTGTTGAACGAGTGTTTTCTCACCATAAAGACCAGGAACTCGTGTACGAATACGTAAACCAGAAATAGCCATTGAAAGTAGAGGAACAGAAGTACCTGTTGAATTATCTGGTAATATGCCATATAATTCTACATTATTATCTATACCAGAAACCATACGTGAAACAAATTGTTCGGCTATAGCAAAATTTTGTGGAGTTATTGTAAAAGTACCTTTTGCATTAAGTATAGTACTATTGCCTTGTTTTTCAAGATAAAATGGATCAATAATAACTAAACCAAGTGATATACCACTTGTCAATTCACGTAAATCAAGTGAAAGACGACCGCCATTAAGAATATAAACAGTAGAAGGATTATTAATTTTTGTTATTACACTAAGAGAAAGTTCATGAGATGATAAAGCTTTAGTTAAATCAATTTCATCAATATTTAAAAGTCCATTATCAAATCGATCATAACCAGCAAGATGAAGAGTATCACTAACAGGAATATTAGTTAAAGTAATATTTCCTATTATGACCTTAGCAAGTGCTGCAGCTAAACCTTCAATCATTACTGATACATTCTTTGTTAGAACAAGATTAGCAGCAAATTCTTGAAAAGCTGTTTCATTAAGAACAATAAGTTCTTGTTTATCAAATTTCATTAAAAGTTCATTAGTTATTTGATTATGTTCAACAGGTATGTCATGAAGAATCATTTGACCCATATTTGATCCATTATTAAAACTCATAACATAATCAATACTAGTTGTTAATGCTTTAAATGTCATATGAATATTAGATGGTAATTGAAATAAAACTGATAATTCACCAGTTATGTAAACTTTATTGGGAGTTATTGAATCAAATTCAATACCAAAATTAAGAACTTCTACTCGTTGAATTAATTGTGTTTCTATACCATTAAGATTTGATTTCATTGATAAACCACTTATTGTTAAATCCATAGCAGTAGCATTTTTTTCATTTGTAGATAATTCATGAAAAAGTTTTACTGATTGTATTTGATTATTGAGATATGCAGAGAAAAATTTACCAACAACAGGCAAATCGTGTTCGCTTAGTGGAGCAAGTAATCTAAAATAATCATCAAGAAAATTTATTGAAATAATGTAAAACAAAACAAAACAAATGAACTAACCCAGTCAGTGTCATATTATTGTCTCCCGGATGTAAAGATAGTACATCGATTGGCACGCGACCAAGGACTGTTCCGCTATCACTATCAGCCATATTAAGTGTAAAATTTTGTAGTTTAACGTCAGTTACACCAGGATTATGAATGCTTACATTAATAGAAAGTTGAAGAGCACTGTCTACTTCACCATCGATAGAAATATCATGGACATTGACATTACTAAGACCTGCAAGACCAACTAATGATATATTATTTTCGACAATAATTCCATTAATATTCAATGGACCAAGAGCGAATGAACCATTAATAGAAGCATCACCACTAATACGAAAATTAATTAGATTGATTTCATTAGCATTAATAAAATTTTGAGCAAATTTTTCATAAGTTTTACCCGTATCACTAAGTATTAAATATTTATCATTGAATTGTGTTTCATATGTATCTTCATTGATTTGTTTTATTGGAGCTTGAGAAATATCAAGCATACCAACAGAATTGTCTTCATAGAGAAGAAAAACATTCATATCCATTGATTGAATATTAAGTGGAGATTGATGACCAAGTGGTGAATTAATTTTAATAGTGATCAAAGCTGAAAGAGTTACTTTTTTTTCATTTGTCGATGGAATAAGTGACATAGATTCAAATATTAATGAAGGAATAAGTTGTTCATCAAATGGAGGCATTTGAACACCTAATGAAAGACCTTCCATACCAACTGCGAGTAAAGAATATGAAGTTGCATTTGGACCAGCTAATGCTTCAACTTGACTTGTTTTTCCAGTAAGAAAATTTTGTACAACTGTCGAAAGAGCATTATAAGATTCCGAAGAGTTTGATTGAAGTTCACCAGAAAATGGTATTGCATTTATACCTGGACGTAATGTTGTATTACTATCTGTTGATTCAACATAACCAATAGGTAAATTATTATAGTGTAGAGAAAATTTTAATTCACCTGAAATAAAAAATAAAATTATAAACTAGTTAATTATTATTATAAAGCTTACTGACCAAGATCGATACTAAATACCGATGGATTTGGAATTACAATAATAATATCAGCAAATATTCGATATGCATCTGATCGACGAAGACTTATTGATTTAATACTTACATTTTGAAGACTATTTAAAGCATTAAGTTTTACCTGTTTATTAAATGGAATATTAGAATAAACAGGCATAATACTTGATATAGGTTGTATAGATGCTTTTGCTGTTAAATGCCATATAACATTTTGTTCAAAAATAAGAGATCGAGAAAACTTATGAAAAGCTTCTAAATCAGAAATAATAAATGGAGAATCAACTGGAACTATAGTAGGACGATCAGAATAACCCTCAATAGAAATCGGTTTATCATTTCTTACAGTTCCAATATTGTCTACATTAATAACAAGTGGTGGAAGTATTGTAGCAGCGATTGATCCAGTACGTGATAATTCTAATTGAGCACGTAGACGAAAATTATCATTTTTAATGTCTTCAATATTAATTGAACGAAATGATAATTCAGCTTTTTCAATCGTAGAACGAACTACGGCTGGAACGATTGCATAGAGTACAATTATTATTCCAGTAAGTATTGCAAGCAAAATGATAGCAATACATAATATAATAAATAGATTACGACGCATTCGAAAACCTTTGTATCGACCACATAGAGTACAAAGTGTTATCATCTTTGGTGATGATTCTTTTTTGTTTTTGGGAGTTGACGTGCTTGGAACAGATTCCACATAATCTTCTATATTTTCTTTGGTAAGATCTTCAGTAGAATCGGAATTTTTTTTAGGTAATTTAATAAAAACTATGGAGTTGGATGCAGCTGGAGATACTCTTCCTTTCATTTTCTAGTTTATATCTAAAGAAAAAATTAGAAATCCAATATAAAATGCATACTTTTTATATATTGCATTTCTAAATTATTCATTTCTTACATAGAAATGAATTTAGGTAATAATATTTTCTTCAATAAATAAACTTACTATGTTTTCATATTTTTTATTGATGTGCGCATCTACATTCTCCAGGTCGTTTTATTATCTCTGATAAGTTCGTTTTTATTTGTCAAAATACTCTTTCATAACACTCTCCCAACGTGATGGAGATTTGTTGTATTTTCAGGTAGATGAAGAATAGAGATAACTTGTTTGAATTTTCAAATGTTACATTTTAATTTACAGTAGACTTCTATGATAAGATATATTAACGTATATTTACGAGGTTGAAGTTCGAAATACAATGTTTAGAATTACTTGAGATATTTAATCTATTATGAATGAAAGCAAAGGCTAATCCAAGTCGATCATTCTGACTATTGAAAACGACGTCTTAAACTGCCTAAAATCGTGAAGAAACGACGTCGTTATTGCCACAAACGATGAAAAACGACTGCCGTTTTTCACCATTTTTCGTCAGCTCGAATTACGGGCTGTTTTTCCTCAGAACGTAAACGACGCCGTTTATGATTCTATTTATCTACTGTTCAGGACGGCCATTGCGACAGCTATTAACGGTCGTATACGACGTCGTTTGTCATCGTATTCGCATAAGTCTCTTCTCAGTGATAACAAACACGATTTTTTTTCTCTTTCTCACCTTCCATAAACACAAGAAACAAAATTTGTTTATTTAAATAAAATACTTACTATTGAACAAGATGGTGAAAGGAATTGGAATAAAAAAGTATTATTAAGTTTTTAAATACACAATAATCAATCGATTATAGACCATTAGAAAGTGTCTAGTGGTGATTTTAAGGTACTTATGTTGATACGATGAAAAATAGTGTGAAATGTCAAAAAAAAGACGACGGCCGTAACGATAGTTATTTCTGCTGGTACGTAAACGATTAGCGTAATGGATATCGTCTTTCGCCATATTTCTCCATTTTACGAGACATCGTAAATGATTATTGTAACGACAGTCGTTTTTCGCCATTTTCGAATCGTTTACAGGCCGTTCTTACGACATGGGAACAGGGGAAGTTCCCAAAGGGGTGAGTTGCTTTTTTTCTCGAAAAATACACGACTGTATGCAATTCACTGCTCTGATTCCGAATATCAAGATCCTAACGACGCTTATACCTTTCTGGATTCTATATCATAACTACCAACCCTCTTCTAATAGAGGTGGTTTTTTATCAAATTCGATATCTAATGGATTGACTAGGTGTCACCAGATAAAATATCACCAGAAATCCTTTTTTTCACTGACATTTTTATCTTTAATGTCACATACTAAGCTATACAGCAGCGAAGTAATACGTATATTGACTAGGAACAGTCATTTGATATTTATTCTCGTTGCTTCATTTATTCGCAAGCTAATACTAGTAGTACAATATTCCAAAAAATTTATGACAATTGAAATAATGCAAAAGAAATATATATATATGAACTAACAATTATTTTACTTAGGGCATACCAAAAGTTCTGGTCACGGTGTTTAAAGGATCTTTTCGGATAGCGGGATCCGTTGAGAAATGAAAAATCAAACATACCATGTTGTAGAGCTTTTTGAGGCATGTCGAATGGTATATAGTAAATTCTATTTTCATAAGACTTTAAAGGAATTAGAGTCAATTTACTGATAGACGACTACATATCCACATCCAAGCATAATAAATTTCTGAATATTGTGATCCTTGGTATTAGTCGAAAGTAGTTATTTGTAAAAAAATTTTTTTCTCACATACAGTTTTGTAGAGCTTGATGGGTTACAACCTTCTATATGTAGCATCTCCGGTCATCTTGTCAGTGTGTAGTCGCCTATCAGTAAATTGATCTCTAGGTTCTTCAAAGTCTTATGAAAACAAGATTTAATATATACCATTCGACACGCCTCAAAAAGCTCTACAACATGATATATTTGGTTTTTCATTTCTCAATAGATTTCTTTATCCGAAAAGATCCTTGAAATGCCGTGACCGGAACTTTTGGTATGCTCAAAATAGATTTATGTTTATGAATTAGTTTATGTTGTATTTTGCTCTGTACCATTTTCAACAGTTGTTGTTTGTTTTCAAAATAAATTTAAAATAGAGTCAAGTTTCCAAGTGATAACTTATATAGCTGATGATGGTCGTACAAAATTAAATACAACATCGAAAATTCCTATTATAGAAGATTTTTATATTAAACTTCAATATTTCTCTTTACTATATTATTATTGATATTATTGTTCAAGTTTCTTTATTGATACGAACCCACAACTTTGTCCATTATCTGTTTCTTGGTAACGTAAGGGTAATTTCCTCTCTCCTACTTCGGCGGCAAGAATTATTTTGGAATCATTGAAATAACATGAATCACTCGAAATCAATAGAATCATGGTATCAACTTTTTCCTTTCGGTGTATTCAAGAACACTAGATGTTCTGTATACTTTGCTTCTGCTAGGCACGCCTGCCATTAGGAGCACTATTCAAAAGTCTTCATAAGGCTTCAAGAGATTTCAGAACTCCAGAACTTCATGTGATCTTATAACTGAAGTCTTTGCCATTTACCTTTCGATTCTATACCTCGTCATCGGTGCTATGACGATCCTAGTACCATTCACTACAAGAGAAAGAACATGCAGCAAAATGAAATTTATTAAAACGATTGTACGTACACTATATTCGATATTATACTGAGCGATTAGTCTCCGTTGGCTATTCAGAGAGATATTATTGTTGATTACGAAAAGTTAATTGATTCTTTCTCAATTCAGCATTAGAACAGTCGAATATTGTTGAAATAATTATTATTTGTTTATTTTCACCTTTTTAAATTTTTTTGTTTTTTGATAATACTATTATTTCGTTTACAAAAAGAATAGATAAATTGCTTTGTATCACTCTTTACGAAGTAGAAAGTTCAGAAATTGGATTTATCTTAAAAGAAATTTAATTTATTGTGGAATGATTTTTTAAAGATGGTGAGGCACTATCCTCCCATCCACGATTTTCCGTATACGCCACTAGTGTAACGGCCTATGACATTTTCATGGTTGTGTTTGTCATATCTGTGATACATCGTTGCTAAGATGTCTGTCAATACTGTAAAAAGAAAGGTAGATTAATAAACCATACGAAAAGGGTTTATGTCAATTTCATAAACGCTTTAAACAATTATTCTACGTTGCATTTCCACAAACCCTTGTACAGTGATGAAGATAATAAACCCTTGAAGATTTTATGAAATCAACATAAATCTTAACGAGTTTGTTGAAAATTTGATGAGGAGCTTATGAGGCTAATAAACATTTTCCGTAGGGTTTATTATTATGCGCTTTTGTTTTTACAGTGATGTCTCTAATGAACCGTTGCTAAAATGTCTGTTACGTCTGTGAAAGTGGGTCCAAATTTCTATTCCTATACTTCCATACGTCTTTTAGATCGTGTTTCACAGAATATTTGCTCAAGTACTAATATCTTGTCTTGCTACATTTTAGAGTCTCTAATAATTCTTCTTATCTAAGCTTATTATTGCATATATGACATCGGATATTTTCTTTATTATAATATGCTGCAACCTGTTGCTTCATTAAGTTTTGTAGCTTTTATATCTAATCAATAATAAGTCACTAAGGTTGCGATGATTAGATATAAATAACTATATGTATTTAATGCAGATGGATAATGACAACTGCCACTTAAATGTCAGAAAATCTAATTATTTGAAAAATGATTGAAGTTGGAGAAAGAAATCAATTCATAAAAGTACTCTTGGAATTTTTATATGATCATTTTGTGAAACATATTTCAATTATTAATTTTATTGAATGACATTTTTCAAATTATTAAAATCCATAAAAAAAAGAAATCATGCACCATAAATGCGTATTAAATATTCATTAGACACTCTATTGAATTTATAAGATAATAGACAAAAATTAATTACAATATTAACTCTGTCAGGACGGGATTCTTTTTTTTCGAACCAAAATAATGAGTCACGGAATTAGTTAAATTGAATTAAGTTTCATTTCTAATCAGCACTATTGATCTTTCAAAGATCGACACAGCGTATATACATGTCGCTCGTACTAAATCATAGAGTAGTGCCAGTTAGATCAATGATAAGTAGTACGCATCAATGGATCTGAACTGTTTCGAAATAGGAAACGCATATATGATTCACCTGTCTTGAAAGGGTTAAAAATATTATATTCGTTTTTATTTTTCTTTTCTGTAACCTTTATTTATATTGACATAAGAGATCAAAGAAAGGGAAAAAATTAAAAACAAAAAAACAAGAAGGAGAAACAAATGTATACGTTTCACGGACATCTATGGATAAAAACGAAATGAAAACAAGCTTATTCTTATGACTTTAACACCCATCGTCTAAAATGATATGCTTTAGGGTACATACTATAATTGTATGCCTAAAAAATAGAAATATTGAAGTTATTTTTCTATTTTATATAACCAGTCAAACATTCCCAAAAGTTTCCATTATGTATCAAAACGAGAAAGAAAAAAAAATGAAAAAAAGTTAGTGTTCGATGTCTTGCCTGTGGAGATTCATTAGTCGGTATTAATTTTGGTGTTCAGATATGTTCGCCATGTAAAGCATTTTGTTTGTCAAAATTCTATAAAACTTTTTGTATGTTTTTATTTTTCTCGCTATATATAAATATTAAGTAGTTAAATTTTTCTTTTCTAGTCATATGAACTTATATATTATAAAGATGGTGATTATCTAATAACATGAACAAATATGTATTTCATTAAGATATTATGAACATTTTAAAATACTTCATAATAATACATTATCATTAGAAAAATTTATAAATTCTATTTCATATATGTATTTAGCATTAGTTGATTATCTTAAATATATACCTGAACTTTCAAATTTACCTATTGAAATAAAAATTTATTTTATTAAAAAGTAATTTTAATCAAACATTTCGTCTTAATAATGCATTAATTATACATCCAACAGATATTGTTGATGATATAAATTCCGTTGTATTTAAAAATGTTTTTCCGGTAGATTTATATATTGAACTATGTCATTGTGCTCTGGCTCTTAGTCCATTTGTTTATAATCCTATTTTTCTTAAATTAATATCAATTGTATTAATTTTTCCAACAAGTTTGAGTATTCGATGTGATATTAATTAACAAATTAATTCCTACAAAAACTATTTTATCAATGCAATATTTTTATATTGAAGTGTTATGGTGTTGTATGTTATATCGTTGTTCAACATATCAAGAAAGTGTACAACTTTTAACATTATTTTGTCACACGTCTACTTCATTCTCAAACTGTTAGTGAATGTGTAAATAAAATAACATCAAATCACGCTGATCAATTAGAATCAATTATAAAATGAATGTGGCTTAATGAAAAAACTGAATAACATCTAAAGAATTAATAAATATAAATTGTTTCATGTAAATATTTTTTTGTTTTGATTACATCACATACAAAATCAAATACAGCCGTAGGAGCTATTGGTTGTTGATTATTTGGATCAGATTTAGTTTGTACTTGATATTTTGTCGTTGCTGATGAATTGATTTCATTACATATAACAATTGTCCATGATATGAATTTTGAAATTTCTTTCAGACGTTTATTTGTATTTTCATCGAATTGATGTTGTTGATCAATAAAAAAGAGAAAAAGATGAGGAGGTTGCGGTTTTAATCGTTTTATAGTTTCCAAAATATTATGAAAATTTGAATATAATGATGGATTAAATATGAGAATAGCATCAAATGGATCATTTTCATGTTTAGATAAACTTTGTATAGCTTGATTTGCATCACTAATATCAACTTGTTTAACTAATAATAATTGTGATGATGATGATGGAATAGTTAATGATGCTTCATTACATGTAATTAATGTTACATGACGAAAATCAGCTAATATTGTATCAATTAATTTTGATGATGAAAGTTTTTTATCAAAAATAAGAAAATTCATTTTCGTTTTTTTGTTGTTATGTTTTTGTTTATGTTCACTTTTTAAAATATTGAAATGTTTGCATTTGATGACAAAAATAGAATTCAATGAAATTACTTAGAGAGAGAGAGGAAGGAAAGAAAAACAAACATATATGTTCTCCCTCGTTTTCTTTTAAAAAATAAAAAGATTGATGATTATCAAGATACATAGAATCAACCAATGTCAATGTTCCACATAGTATTTTATTTGAGTATTATATAATGTCATTTCTATCGTTTTTTTTTCTCACATATGGTTTGCATTTTATCAATGTGTTAATCGTGCTGTTAGTTTTTAACAAAATATTAAATTCAATATTTGACGATTAAGTGAAGAATAAAATGAGAAAGATCTTTAGTATATTATTATTATTATTATTAGTTTCTATTTTATATTTATCAGCTGTCCAATTCAGTAAAATAAAAAAGGTATCTATATTAAATTTTTTGATTTCATTTAATTAAATTTTAGTTTTTTAGAATGCAAGATTAAGAGATGAATCATTTATTCGAGGTAATTAAAATTCAATTTCGAGTACGTTTTAAGTGTTCTATTTTATTTTTTTATTAAGCTGATGATCATAAGTATTCGGCAGATATAATTGAATCAATTCATTCAGATATTCCGGGTGATCCACAAATAAAAGTACGCTTTGCAAATATAGATGAGGATGAAGATGAAGCAACAATTTCTATTGATACTGAAAGTGAAAGTGAACAAGAGGAAGAAGAAGATTTACCAATAAAAAAAAAGAAATTACCAAAGTCAAAACTTGAAGATATTCATTCTTTTCTTTGATTGTATATTTATTTTATCTTGAATAAAAACTATGCAAATAACATCAATTATCTTCATTAATAATATATGACAGATCAATCATACTGAGTATTCAAGAATTCTTTCTTTACATAATTTTCATTCGGTATGACATATAAAAAGATAAACACACATTCATACACATTGATGCATGTTGATGGATAGATTAACATTATTTAATAGTTAGGTTTTGTATATCTTCCAGGATTTTTTTTAGCAAACATAAGTTACAGTTTCAGTCACGTATTGGCATGAGATTCTGAGAGTATTCGTTGGATTTTATTACTATTTTGCAATATGAAGAAAAGTCAACATATGTATTTATTGAGATATATAGCGCGGTCTGCAAATAGCACTACAGTTAAAGAAATGAAATGTCTCCGAGTCGGTTCAATCAAATGGGCTAATGTTTTTATTAGTGGTAAAAGTTTATTCAAAGTTATTTTTCAGAGAGATGAAGCAAGTAAATACTACTATTAGTGGCGGAGCCACGAAGCTGAGTCTTCCTAAGCCAAAATTCTAGGTCTGTCACTGACTACTATTAAGTATTATTGTTTGTATCATGAGAGCAATTTTACACGTTATGAAGTAGGAAAAATACATGTAGAGCGCTTCATAGATAATTTTCAGTTGTCGCTGAATAGAAGAAGAAGCCAAGTCGAGCTTTATGAATAATATTATATTGATGCAATAGAGCAAATTTTCAAAGTTACTTAGTTAGTTTAAAAGTTAACTGTTGTAAAGTTTCGAATTTTCAAATACTGAGCATTGGAGGTTAAAACTATAACTTGACAGTAGCATTTGTTTGCGTTATCCGTATAGAAAAAAAAAACTTTAAATAAACTTCGAGCGCTAATCGAAATATAAGACTATTCGACCGAACTGAAACGAAGATACTTCAATTTGTTTAGCGTAGTACTATTTATAGCACACCTTGTACAAATTGTGATAATCAAATTTTGGTTTATTGGTGATGAAAAAAAGTTTAACTTATTCACCTATTTGTTATTTTTAATATACTAATGATACATAGAAAAAATCTTTTAAGTTCTTAAGTAACCGTCTTTTAAGCTTAGGAAAAACACCTCAACGAAAAATGATAATAGGTTTATTTTTTATCTCGAAATTATAAAAATATGGAAAACTACAGTTAAAAATTCACATTTCCTCTCTATATTCAAACATAATGGAATTATTAATAGAACAAGAACATTAGTAAACTGATTATCAATTTATCCTCAATTTCATATAGATTAATCAAGTAGAGATATTTTTCATACAAAATTAATCTTTATCTTCAAGACCGTCTCAGAAAAAGACTGAAATATGATATGATTGACTCATTGAAATCGCACTTGATGATATGCTCACCGAAGATCAGCAGGATGAAAGATGAGAATTAAATTATGAATTAATTCATTATAGGACAGAACACTACAAAAAGGTATAGAATAATAAATTGTCACTATGCATTTATTACCATTATATAAACCCTTTCTGTTCATAAACTCTTGACAAGAGTTCGTAACCCATTGTAGATTAATAAACTCTTGTACTATTTTCTGTGTTCATAAATCCTTTTTGAGTATATGAATGGAATAAATCCTTAGGTGAAGAGTTTATCATTACACGTTTTAAACACAACCGTAGAGTGATAAATCCTTTGCCTGAGAGTTTATTATTCTACACTTATCTTTGACAGTGAAGACTAAACTGAAAACTATTCATTTATTTCTAACGTTGATATAACTCATAATCAAACTTGAAATTACCTATTATTGTTGTTATTCTATAATTTTGGATTTAATGAACTTTGTAATCATATTGGATATATACTTGTGTGTAATTAGTATATAATTTAACATATGTTAATTTTTAGAATAGCTTATAGAAAAACAAATTAACTATGTAAATTAAAAGATTTCCATTATAATGATTGTTTTATTATGGAATGTAACAATAGACAAAATTTCATAACATTTAGTGTCTTTTACATTAGCAAAAGAAAGTTGTTTATGCTCATTGTTTTCATCAATTGTCTTTAAAATAAATTCAACGATTTTATTGACTAAATCATTATGAAATTGTTTACAAATTTCGAATACAACTTAGTCCGAATCATATTGTGAATCTATACGCGTAAGAACAGATACGTATATAGGTCAAACATACTACGATCATCATATACGCATTATTTGGAAGTTTAACTAAATTTTGAATACATTTTGACAAAGGCATAGAAATTGTATGTAACAGATCGATTTCATACAAATTTCTGCAATTGTTTTCTACTTTTTGACAAGAATATAAATAACAAATCAAAGAAAGGAATGTAATATAGCATTGTATAGAAATAAAGGATTTACAGGACATATTAAAGGACCAATCTCACTGACTGAACTTTACTCAGAACCAAAGAAGCAAACTTGCAATCAAAAAAAAATATTGATGGTATATTATGCAGACGATTGCATATTGAAGAATTACATAACGAACAACGGTCCACAACGACAACAAAGACAATTCCTTTTAAAGTATTTTGAGGTCAGAGTTTATCTATACAAGACTTTGAAAAAATGAAACAAACAGAAGGAGGACTTATGTCTTTTAACAATTTCCTTTCAACAAGCTGTAATCGAAATATTTCACTGAAAAACGTTGCATGCTCAGTAGTACTCGATCCTAATTCGGTTGGCATACTCTTTGTTATGAATATCGATCCGAAACTCTGCGCAACATCATCGATTCATTTTATCGACATAAAAAATGTCAGCTACTATGAAAGTCAAAAAGAAGAAATTCTTTTCTCGACAAATACGATTTTTCGCATTGATAAAATTGAACGGATCCACGACGACTATACTGACCGCCTATGGCAAGTTAATCTCACCCTCATAGGTAATGACGACAATGATTTAAACATACTCGTGGCACGCATACACGAGGAATTTAGTTGCGCAAAAGGATGGCCGTGACTAGGTAAAATACTTATGAAAGTGGGAGAATTTGCAAAAGCAGCACAATTCTATCAGCTTCTCCTTGAAAAAGCATATTCCAATAAAGATCGAGCGAACTACAACGACACACTTGATCCAGTGCATTCTCACATGAGTGAGTACTCAAAAGCACTTTCATTTTATGACCGAGCACTCGATATCGATGGAAAAACCCTCCGTCCGAACCATCCCGACTTGGCTAAATTCTACAACAACATGGATTTGGTGCACTATAATATGGATAAATACTCGAAAGCATTTTTATTTTATGAAAAAGTGTATGCGATCTCAGAAAAATCCCTTCCTCTAACGCATCCGCATGTCATAAAATCGAAGCGAGATATTGAACGTGTGAAAAAGACATTGTAATCGATTCTTTTTTTTTTGCTACAATAAATTTGGTTCATTTCTCTTGTGTCGATTACGAATTTTTTCCAAAAAATATTTCTATTCACATGAACACAACCAAAGAGACCTCCGGGCGTTGTTGGAATATTACAGTGGACGTTCCTGACAATAGTCGGGCAACCATATATGTATGTATATCGTACGTATGAGACGACAATAGGAACATACATATATTTCCAAGACCTCTCCATGCACTTCTGTACGTAACAGGAGGATGTTGAAACTCTCTGGCAGGGTTAAAAAGGCATCCCATGGGCATTTATAGAAAAGTATGGGTGGAAAAGGAAGATTGTAGCACAATGTGAGGGTAGGGAAGGAAAATGAGGTGTCGATTCGATCGTTGATTATGTTTTTAGTTGAGAAATTGATATCTGTTGATTTTTATCATCATAGTAAGTTATCACAAAGCTAAATCAAATAAAAAGTCAATCGATAGTTATTCACCAATTGTCTTGCATCTGAAACTGTAAACATTAAGTTTCATTCAGTATTAAAAAATAGATCATCATATCAACTTAAGCCACAGAAGATCATTTTGAAATACTTAGAATTCATTCTTACTGAACCAAGAAATCTAAAATTTTTAGAATGAATCACATAGAGAATTTTCTCTGTGCAAAATTTTAAGTTGCAATTTGACAGTTGGTTTTTCAAGTGAATCTAAGAAAAGACTACGACGTTGTAATAAAAAAAAATATTGCAAAAAATTAAATGTTTCGACAGGAACAACCCAGAATGCACAAACTTTTTACAAGACATTTAGAACCCATTAAGATCTACATAATGCACATAGGCACGATACAAAAGAAAATTGACACTTTGAAACGTACCTTCATTAGTTACGCTGTTTTCTAGATATGGTCTCCCGAGGAAAAATACATCTCTTGAACTTGACTTTTCGTTTTTGTTAATACATAAAACCTAATCGATATTTTTTTCGATATCTATTTCTTTTGTTTTATGTATCGACTGATTATTTTTAAAAAGTGGATATCATCAACAATAACTATAACAAAGACAGATAAAAAAACGACGCAAACACGCACAAATGCCTATGACAGAAAAAAGAGAACATTAATTTATAGATTTGTTCAGATGTATATCTCAATCTTTATTTGATTCATCAGTTGATTTTTTTTCTTCACCTTCTCTCTCTCTCTCTTTCTTTTCTCATCATCTTGTCTTGATCATTCTGCTAACATACTTGCTTTCTTTGCATAAGGTACAATATCATCAATGCGAAGTAATAAAACAGTAGTCTAAAAAAATAAAGCCAAAAATTTCTTCAGAAAAAAAAATTCATTTCACTTCAAAAGCTGTTTTTATTGATTGCATTTTTACAGCAATTGGTTCGTATACACCAAATTTATGCATATCAACTAATTGATCGGTTTCACCATCAATACCTCATGTAAACTGATTGTGTTATTGATGATGTTTAGTAACATTATCACCATAATTTTGTATTAATGTTCGTAGAATAATCTGTAATGCATGACTAACTGTTTTATATGGATATTTTTCAACATCTTGAAAAAATTCGTCCTTTATTTGACTTTCATTATGACTCATTGTGTCAAGTGTTTTGGCAAAAATACTTGACTGTATTACTGATGTAACTCACACATCGTCTCCAAAAAAAATTCACCACGAATACTCCGACTTCGAAAAAATTTCTTTTAATGACTTCGGCTCTGACTCCGTCGGAGTCGGGTTGCAGCGTCGGATACAGGGCTCTAATGAGAGTCCTCTCCTCACTTAATATCTACACCCCACTAGGCTTGAAATCAGTCGAACTTTTTCCAACCGAACTGAGTCGATCAATTCAGCCTTCTTGATTAGCTCGGACCAGTCGGTCGAAATTCTTGGCTTGATTGGCAGAAAATCGGCGACAAACCGAGATGTTTAAAGATCTAAATTAACACATTGGGTCCGATGTGTTAACCTACTAGTTCTTTTGCGAAAAAGTTTATTAGTACAGCTTCACGAAGACATCCAATGTGAAACTGGTATAATTGGTGGGTTTTATAATAACAATAACTTCTATTTTAATCTGTCGCATATCAATATACGCTAATACTAAGAAAAGAAAGAAGTCTTTCAAACCTTTTCATCTAATACTCACAACAACTGATATTGAACAACGTCTATTCTTTGTTTTAACTGGTTTTCTTCAAGAAAAATATAATTGTTTTACAAGAATTGATAAATCTGATGTTTTCTCATTTGAAATCATTATTTAACATAACTAAAAGGCTTCTCAATTCGTAGAGGCTAGGGTTGCCTATAGGAAGACAAAATGAGCGACAGTGTTGGAGTCTTCTACTAGGCTTCATATTTTTAGGTTTCTTAACATCTAGATATTGTCACGGTTGTATAAGGTAGTAATTCGCAAAATTTCCACAACAAAACGGAATCTTTTCTAACGTTTATGTGACGAAAACATGAATTGAAGTTATGAGCCATTGAGAGTTGCTGACTGTCAGCTAAAAGCAGCGCAGAAAAGTGAGCTCGAAATTTTGAGCTGACAAGTTTTTAGTTTATACTGAATTTGACTTCTAATGGCCAGCTAATTTGTCGTGACTATAATCAATACATTTAGCATGATTCGAAGCCCTTATTGTACTATGAGAAGATGTGAGTTCAAAATTTTGAGCTGCGGTTGATGACGACTAGAAATTTTTCAGCTAGAAACTTTGACGCTTATATTCTCGGCCTGTTAAAACTGTGAAAAACAATGAAAACACGTAAAATAGACGAATTTCGGTGCGTAAAAAACTGACAAAACAACCGACAACAAACAGTGAAAACCGACCGATTCTAAAAGTTGAACTGGACCGGATCAGTTTGTCGATCCAGTTTCAAGTCTACATCAGACACCCACACCCACTACCATCATTCGAGAAAAAGAAGTAGTCCGTGAACATTTTTCTCTTCCCTGTTTTAACTCATTCCAATCTGGGCGTGATCTTCTGTTTTTCGTTTTTTATCTTTTGTCTAAATAAACTATTGAAATATTAATAAAATGTCGTAATTTTTGTTATTCTTTTTTTCGTAAACATTGAGTTTGTTATGTTATATTGTAAATCAGCAACAACAAAACGACCTATAGCCTAATATCTAAAATGTGTGTTTGTAGTTATATTGAGAAATTTTGAAATATCTTCAAGTACTTCAAAATATTCCAAGTATCTTAAAGTATTTCAAAGTACGTGTAAAGTAGCTTCAATTTGTTTGAAGAACTTTAAAGTAGCACAAAATAACTTCAAGTACGAAAATATGCTATTTCTCTGTAATTGTCTCTGTTTACATTAGAATATCTTCAAAATGAAATTGGTTCTATTTAGTATCGTCTTTTTTTGCGCTCTTTCTATTGCAAAAAAAAGTTGATTCAAAAACTAAACCCTTATAAGTGTAGAAATTACATTTCATGAGAGAGTAAGTTTTTTTTTAATATCACTCGGTACATGAAACTTGAGTTAAAATACTTCATTAATTAACGAAACAGATTCGTTATATTAAATATTAGTATCGACGATTATAGAAAAAAAACCATTAACATTTTTATTTTGCACAAATAAACAAAAAAAAAGGAAAATAAATCCTGAGAGGAATCATTAAATACATAGGAGTTAATTTGTTTGAATTAGAAATAACTGACTATTGAACATGAGTATTAATAACTGGTTGTTAAATATCAAGAGTTTCTATTTTTTTTTTTTTCGTTTTGAATTAACAAATCTTTTTTTGATTATTACTATTATTTGAATTGACTATCGAAAATAATAATTGCATAAGTTGATCATGTCGATCTTGTGATGCTTCATCACTACCATTAATACGATGTCGAACTGAACGTAATTCATTATTAATCATTTCAAATAAATTACGAAGAAAATTTTCATTTCCTATTTGTATTTGATCAATTTTTGATGGTGTTGATAAACATAAATTTTTTTCTGAACTATTTCTTGGATATATAAATTTTTCATCTGTTTTCGTCTAAGATAGAAAAAAAATACTTTTTTTATATTTTTTTAAAAAGAATATTTTTCTTTCAAACCTGTATAGCCTTATTAATAAATCGTTTGGATGTTACCATTTTAAGACGTTCTTGTTGAAGATATACTGTATAATCAATTTTAATTTGTATACCATATGAATCTTTGAATATTTCATTAATACGTATCCATACATAATGTGATTCAGTTAATTTCCAAAATGTTGTTAATTCTTCAGCTGTCATTGTTTCATTTGTAAGACGAACACGTATACCGAGCCATGGAAGTAAACGAACAGATTCTGGACATGTGTATATATCCGAAAATAATACAGTACTTTCATTACCAAAATCAACAAAAAAAACTATGGCTTGTTCATGTTCTATATCAACTGATGTCACCCACGCACGATAATATTTTTTATCATCAGCATATCGTGCAACAACTAGACTAAAGAAAAAAAAAATAATATTTAGATTTTAATTAATGTATTCAAATTATATAAAATATACGTTTTAATTTGAGGTACTTGAAGATATTCTCGATTTGGTATATGATCTTCTTGTAATTCACTCATAGCTCGATCAATAGCAGCTGTATTTTCATTAATAACTAATACATAAAATGAATCATCTTTACCACTAAATGAACTAAGTAAAGCTTTTAATTCATCACCAACAGATAATTGTAATTCATATTGAAATTGTTCAATTAATTCTTCTTCGCCTGACATTAATTTCTTAAGAA